ATTTTCCTTCATAAATCCTTCATAGTTGATTTGCATGATCACATTACTCAGAATAGCTTAGTCATTCAGTTACTCTTCAAACAATATTGCTGTTACTGAATATAATGTTCTCTTGGTTCTGCTCATTTCACTTTTCATTATTTCATGCAAGTCTTTTCATGTTTTTCTAACACCAACCTGCTTGTCACTTCTTATAGCACCGCCGCATTCCATCACCATCATATGCCACAACTTAATTCAGCCATCCCCCAATTGATCGGCATCCCCTCAATTTCCAACTCTTTGCCACCAAAAAAAAAGTTGCTATAAATATTTTCCAACATATAGTTTCTTTTCCTTTTCCCCTTATCATCTTAGGAAACAGACCTAATAACAGTATTGCTGGGTCAAAGAGTATACACAGTTTTATAAGTCTTTGGGAATAATTCCCAACTGCTCTCCAAAATGGTTAGATCAGTTCACAATTCCACCAACAGTGTATGTGTCCCAATTTTTCCACATCCCCTCTAACATCTGTTATTTTCCCCTTCTCTCATTTTAGCCAACCTGATAGGTGCAAGATGATAACCTCAGAGTTGTTTTAATCTGAATTTTCTAGTCAATAATGATTTAGAGCATTTTTCATATGACTTTAATTTCATCTTCCAAAAGCTGTCATTTCATATCATTTGACCATTTATCAAATGGGGAATGACTCATATTCTTATAAATTTGACTCAGTTCTCTATATATTTGAGATGAGGCCTTTATCCAAAAAACCAGTTATAAAAATGTTTTCCCAATGTTCTGTTTTCCTTCTAATCTTGGTTACATTGGTTTTATTTGTGTAACCCCTTTTTAATTTAATGTAATCAAAATTATCCATTTTATATCCCATAATGATCTCTATCTCTTGTTTAGTCATAAAATCTTCTCTTATCCATAAATCTGATAGGTAAAATGTTCCTTGCTCCTCTAATTTACTTATATCTCCCTTTATGTCTAGGTCATATATTCATTTTACCTTATTTTGTTACATAGTATAAGATATTGGTCTATACCTAGTTCTGCCAGACTGCTTTCCAGTTTTCCCAGCAATTTTTACCAAATCGTGAGTTCTTATCCCAAAAGCTTAAACCATTGTGTTCATCAAACACAAGGTTCCCATAATAATTTATTACTATATAATGTATACTTACTCTTTTCCACTGATCCACCATTCTATTTCTTAACCAGTACCAGACAGTTTTGATAATTACCACCTTATAATAGTTTAAGTTCTGGTACTGCTAGACTTCTTTCTTTACATTTTTTTCCATTAATTAGTTGGATATTCTTGCCTTTTTGTTCTTCCAAATGAATTTTATCATTTTTTCTAGCTTAACATAATAATTTTTGGTAGTTTAATTGGGATGGCACTGAATAAGTGGATTAGTTTATGCAAAATTGTCATTTTTATTAGATTGGCTCAGCCCACCTATGCTGCTTTATTCTTTACAAAGGTGGTGGTGAGAGAGAAGGCACACTCAGTACTACTGACCTTTGCTTGATGCATTCTGCTCCCCCTTGTCTATTTACCATCACAAGTTTTTATACTTTCTTTCCTTTTGCTTTTTGACACCCTCCCTCACCAATAATACTGAGTCTGAAGTTTGTTTTGCTTATGACTAATCCATATTGCAGTCCATCCACCTTCTTACTCCCACCCCGACCCACTCCCACTTATTGCCTATTTGTTTATTGAGTTAAATATTTGTGTGTTCGTTTGAGAACAGGTCTTCCTACCTCATACAGGCTGGAAATACAGCAGCCACTCATAGGCCCAATCCCACTACTGATTGGCATAGGAGTTTTGTGCTGGTGCACCCCTCCTTAGGCAGCCCAGTAGCCCTCCACTCCCTGGGACTCACCACGTTGGTGCTGAACTTATTGCAGACATCAGATAGGCTTTAGCTCCACTGCAGCTCAAAATTCTCGAGCTCAAGCGATCCACTAGCCTCAGCCTTCCTGGTTAGCAGGGATTACAGGAGTGGTCCACCACACTCAGTCTTAAATATACTTCTATCCCAAACTCTGTGTGTATATGTGTGTGTATATGTGTGTGTGTGTCTGTGTGTGTGCGCGTGTGTGTGTGTCTCTGTGTGCATCTGTTTTCATTCTACCATCCTCAGATCGGTTCAGATGAAAATGAAACTTAAGTAATACTCATTCCCTCCACCCCTTCCTCATTTTTATAATCATATACACCCTGATCATGTGCAATAGTAAATTCTCCTACCCTTCCTCCTTAGTATACTCCTTTTCCCCTCCACTTTCTTTCTTCAAGATCATTAATTTTAAAAAAAGGAAAAGAAAATTATCATAAAGAAATATGCATAGTCCAGCAAAACAAGTTCCTACACTGGCCGTGTCTAAAAATGTCTCATTCAGCACTTTAACTCCATCACCTCCTTGGAAGCAGGTGGGTGGTATGATTTACCTTCAGGCTTCTGGACCCATGGCTTATCTTTGTATTGATCAGAAGTCTAAAGTCTTTTCAAGTTGTTTTATTTTTTATAATGTTGTTGTCAATGCATAAATTGTTCTCCTAGTTCTGCTGACTTCACCCTGCATCAGTTCACAGAGGTCTTCTCAGTTTCCTCTGAAATGTCCACTTTATCATTTCTTATGGCACAGTAATACTCCATTACATTCATATATTATAATTTGTTTAACCATACCCCAATAGGTATCCCCTTAGATTCCAATTTTTGGCTACTTTGAAATAAGCTTTCCTAAGTTGTTTTTTTACATACAGATCCCTTTTCTCTTTCTTTGATATCTTTGGAGTGTAAATTGTATAACTGGGTCAAAGGGCAAACATCATTTAGAGTAACTTTTAGGACATAGCTTCAAATTGCTTTCCAGAATGGCTGGAGCAGTTGGGAATCTTACCAACAGTGCACAAGTGTACCTGTTTTCCCTCAGTCCTTCCAACATTTGTCCTTTACCTTTTTGTCATCTTTACCAATCTGATGAGTGTGAAATGGAACCTCAGATGTGCTTTAATTTGCATTTCTCTAATTATTAGTGATTTGAAGCATTTTTTTTCATATGGTTGGTGATCATTTGGATTTCTTCCTTTGAAAACTGTTTGCTCCTATTCTTTGACCATTTACCTATATTTTTTCATTCTTATACCAATTATTTGGTTTTTCCCACTTTTTGAAGAAATAAGATTAGTTCTTTATTTTATTAGATTAAAAAACAACAGCTCCAAGTTTATTAACTAATTCAATGGTCTTTTGCTTTCAGTTTTATTAATCTATTCTTTAATTTTCAAAATTTCTACTTTGTTGCTTAGTTGGGGGCCAAGCTGTATTTTTCTTTGAGGCTTTGGCTTACATATGTTGTGATGTTCTTCTCTTGTTCTGAGTTGGTGTCTTGGGTGACTCTGTCTCCATAACAGCTCTTTATAGTGAGAGTTTTTGTTTGTTTGTTTACCCATTCCAGCCTTACTTCCTGAATTGGGACTTTGTGTAAGGGTCAGGCTCTACACAGTTCTGGAGAGAAGATTAGGCCCTTGTTTGGACCCAAGTTGTATTCTCTGGGGTCCTGACACTGCTTCTCCAGGTACTGAATGCTGTATTTTTTCAAGGATGCTAAAAGCAGCTCAGACCAGGGAATTGCCAACTTTCAGTTCTCCCCACATGTTCTCCTCTGAGCAACACAATTGCAGGCTTGCCTCTGGTTGAAGCTCCAGTAGACAGCTGCTAGCCCCAGCCCGTCAGCTAGCTGAAAGAATGTGCAGATTCTGAGCAATACAACTGCAGGCTTGTCCCTGGTCTCTGTTCACCATTTTGGTTACTCAGCTGCAGGCCTATGAACTGAACCACAATCTTGCTCCAGGGTCAGAGAAACAGAGCTAGAGGCTCCCCACAGTCCACAATCCCTGCCTTGGTCCACAGATTCAGGGCCTAGTCTCCACTTTTCCTCAACACTGTTCTGTGGTCATGCTGATACAGCTTCAGGTCCCAACCTCATTCCATCTGAAAGAAGGCTCTGTATGGACCTTGCTGACTGGACTGCCTCCCAGTGCCCACAGGCCTCTGGCTATCTCTCTGTGCTGAAAAAAATAACCTTCTACAACCTGGTGCTAAGAGCACTTTCTTGACCTTTGTTGGAGCAATTGTGGCAGACAGCTGGACTATATGTTTCTTCTTATGCTGTCATCTTTGCTAGTTTCCTATTTTCATCATTTTGATGAAAATCTAAAACTTAATTCTAAAACTAAGCCAGCAGAGGATGTGTGTGCAAACAGAAGATTTCAAACAGAACTGAACTTTTTCTTAAGAACAATTCTTTTATATGGTATTTGATAACTTTCTATGGACTGTCTTCATGACACTCCTATGAGGAGGCACTGTTATCCCTATTTAACAAGTTAAGGAATTGAGGTATAGAGGGCCTTAAATAACTTGGCCAGAGTCACACACAGTTTAAAGGTGGTAGAGCCAGAATTCAAGCCCAGGTCTCTCCTGACTCCCAAGGCCATTGTTCTTTTTCTTAAGCATCAATTATTATTCCAGGCTGTGATGTAAGATGCACTCAAAGGCCACTGCGGTATATAGGGTCATTTGCTTCTTTATTAAATGGGGCTTTTGGAGGGAACTTTTTTTGTTCTTGTGTCTTTTGGCATGTTTATTTTTCTGTATCCTCCCTGCTCTTATAAAGCTGCTAAAATTTTATTTAAAATTACCATTACTAGGTTTTCCACGAGTGCCTCTTCATGTATATAAAGTATATGTGTTTTAGGACATGACCTAAATCACATCTATTTTGGTTGTTCTCACACCTTTCTGCACTTTCTTTCCTTTTCTAGGTTAGGATCTGGGGAGCTAAAGGTTATTGACTAAGCAAGCAAGGTACTTCATAATGGGAACACTCAATGGAACCGTGTTGGAAATGTATAAGATATCCCCCACACAAGCTTGGAGTGGGGCCCATACACCCAGGGAAGCAAGAGACATACGGACACACACCTTTCTCAGCTCCTGGATTATGGAAGAAAGGCGATCATTTTCCGCAGATGTATTAGTCACAAGAAATCTCATTTGTTTAATGTCGTTCTGCAACTCTTCAATTCTCTCCATCAGCTTTGCCTCCTTGGAAGCGGTTTCTAGCAGTAAGCATTCTTCTCTGTTCTCTCCATCAAATGTGGCCCGCTTATGGTTGCTATGACATTCTGCTAATGCCTAGAATGGACAAAGAAGACAGCCATTTTGGAGGCAGCCTAGAGATGGGATTTACAACTAAGATACTGTAGTGTAGGACATATGAATATTCAATTGTAACCCAGAGGGATGTTCCTTCTCAAATAACATGACTTTTTCCAACGACTGAAATCTTTTGCTGGACTAGTCAGCAAGTAGTTACTGAATACCTATCATGTGTCTTATACTAGAAGAGACAAGAATGTTAAGAGTTAAAAATCCAGCACTATTTTATGAGATTCTAAGGCACTGTTTCTGCCCTTAAGGAGCTTACAATTTAGTTGATAAAATAAAAATCTTAACCCCTCCCTCTCTCAAAAAACATCTCTATGCATAAATTAAATATATTTAAAGAATTCAGCAAAGAGAATTAATCAAAGTGGTTAGCTAAAGAAAGTTTTGGGTTTTTTTTTTCAGGGGAGAGAGGAGTGGAGTTGTCTGTTTTTCATTTTTTCCCAAAAAAGGAAGAAAGACCCAGAAAAGGAGCATAGACAGAGCTAGCCTTGTCAGGTCTCAGTAAGGCACCTCCCCCAGGGGCCACTGATGGCTGAGTCGCTGTTAACATCCTGTTTACCTCTTTCAGTTGATGCAGTTCCAGCCTATGGGACTCTAGCTCCGTTTCCAAGTCCCCATATTTCTGTTTCAAATCGGCATTTTCCTCAAGCACTGCCAGGCCGTATGTTGCGGCCTGGACTTTCTCCTGGGTTGTCTCCTGCAGCTCGCTGGATAATCGCTCCACTTCTGCTCTTAGAAGTGCCAAGATCCTTTCCTGTTCCATAGGGGATAAACTGGGCCCCTGCCTGCCAAGCACAAGCCAAGAATCAGTATGTTGTCACAAGAAAAGCCCTTAAGAAAGGGAAGATTTACTGAGGACACCATTAAACAAACACAAGATTCATGTGGAAAGAAACCTAAACATACAGCTTGGTATTGGGTGGGGGGAAGGGAGGCAGGCAAGAGGACAAGGTAAATTCTAATATCAATAGTTACCAGCTTTAAAAAAAAAAAAGGCTGGGACTCAGATTCTTAAAATCTAGCCAATAGTGCAGACTCATGAGGAATCTCACTCACCCCAATCAGTGTTCTAATAAACCTTGTCTTTGGCTGAAAAAAAAAAAAAAGGCTTCGGGTGAGGATGCATAAGAAGAGTCCAGGAAAATAGAGTGTTCAAAGGATGAAGCAGTCCAATGAGAAGATTTGACAATGCAGTTTTAAGATATAAGAAAGCTAGTCACTCAGAACATCTCTACTACTCTTAAAAAAAAAAGAATAAATAGGGGGAGGGAGTAGAGGAGAGAGAGAAAAGTGGAGCATCTTGATTCATAAGCAGATATCATAGCAAAACAAAATGTTTCCCATTCATTCTATAATGGGTCACTGAATTGTGGTGCGGCAGGGAGCCGCTAGTACAAGAGGGGAGAAATTGATGCCATAAAACAAGTCCTTAATAAATGTTTGTTGATGGATAAAAGTGAGAAAGCAAGTTAAAACTGAAAAAAAAAACTTTTCAATTATCCATATTTTAAAGGAAATACAAAGTTATTTTTAAAATAATGTGCTGAATACAAGTGCAGTTTTGTTGTTCAGTCATTTTTCAGTCATGTCTGACTCTTTGTGACCTCATTTGGGGTTTTCTTGGCAAAGATACTCGAGTGGTTTTCCATTTCCTTCTCCAATTAATTTTACAGATGAGGAAACTGAGGCCAACAGGGTTAAGTGACTTGCCCAGGGTCACATAGCTAGCAAGTGACTGAGGCCAGATTTGAACTCACAAAGATGAGTCTTCCTGATTCCAGGCCCTGCACTCTACCCACTGCAGTGCCACCTAGTGTAGTTTTAAGCTTTAATAACTTCAGAAGTAGAAATGAGACCAAAAAAAAATTTTAATCATTTAAAATTTTAATTATTTAATTTTATTTAAAATTTATTTAGTTTCAAAATTTTTAAATAATGAATTTTTTATGAAAATTAAATTAATTTTTTGTTTCAGTCCCTCTGAAGAGGACAATAAAGAAAAAGTCAATTGCATTCTCTGGTTAGCTGAACAGCAATAAGGAGAAAATTCACTTCCCATTATAAAAAAGAGGTTCCCCACAGAAATTTAATAATTGAATGAAAACATTAAAGGAAACTGGCTCAATTCATGATGAGCCTAGATCCAAGAGACATCAAGCACATACAAAGACCGTGGCTGAAACCGAGAGGGCATTTGGACAGAGTCCCTCCAAAAATCAGTACGCTGTGTGTTTGCTGAATTGAACATTCCCAAGGCCACGATGCACAGAATTCCAATAGCCAAGGTTACAGCTGTTCAAATGTTCCTGAGAGAAGATTTCTAGACAAAGTTAGACTGCTGTCAACTGATGGCATCAAAAATGGAAAATTCTAATGGCAGACATGACGAGGTGACATTTTCTGGTGAGGCAGCTTTCCACAGAAGTGGCAAAGTTAACCATCACAACTGCAACATTTGGGGTGCAGAAAAGTCTCAAGGAGTCTGGCAATAAGAGATGCCCCAAAAGTTCATGTTTGGCACACCATTAATATATCTTGCCTTTTCTTATTTGAAGGGTCTATAGTCAACAGTGGATCTTACTTAGCAGTGCTTCCAAATTTTTTCTCTTTCAAGCTGCAGAGGTTACATCTATTGAATTACACCAATTTTCAACAAGACAGGACACCTGTCATTGCATTGTATGAGTGACACTTTCTGGATGACAGTATCTCAGACCAATGGATCTGTAGAGGATGCCATCTTGCTGGGTCAACTTGGGCCACCTGATTTGACTTTATTAGACTTTTTCCAGTGTGGCCAGAGTCATGTCAAAATTGTTGTGTATGCATCAAAATGTTGTTCTTTGGATGACATTCAGGGTAGGATTACAAATACAATCCTTTGAATGAATAGGAGTTGAAGAAAATTTTCACAAAACACAAAAATCATCTAGAACAAGGCATAACACAAAATGGTGGTTATGTTGAATTTTATTGAGAAACAATTAACCTTTCAAATGTTATTTTTTGTAAATCTGTGGCATTTATACTCCTGAAGTTATTAAAGCATGGCTCAATATCTCTTGGATCTAGGCTTGTCATGAATTGAACCAGTCCAATTTTTCATCTAATTGTTAAATTTTAGGGAGAGGGGAGCTTTTCATAAATTTAAATTATTAGACTTTCAAATGACTTTCTGTAACTTTGTAGCATTTCTACTTCTGAAGTTATTAAAGGTTAATGCTGCACTAAGAATTTTAGCATAAGGTATTTTGGTTCTGCTTTCTTCATTTTTTTTTTTGCTGTTGGATTTTTTTTTAATAATCCCATTTCATCCAATGCAAGAAACCTAAGTTTTTGCAGATGAATTGCCTGAGGTTTTTTTTCCCCTCGAAATAAGCATCAAAATGCTGACACTTCCTTTTAAGCATTCTCTAGAACAGAGAAAGTTCACAATAGGGAACGAAGCACAAAAAGCCCCTTACCACTACATAGCAGTCAGACAATAAGCATTTATTATATAAAATGGTTATTCTAATGGCCAAGCACAAAGGCATTCCCCAGAAGGACCATAAGGGGACACTTTCTGAATCATAAACATTACCATCCTCACCATCACCAATTCAGCCCACTTCTATCATTATTCCCCTCTGCTATCCCTACCTCCCAAGGAGACTGCCTAACAGAGGTCTACTTTCAAGAGGGTGGCAAGAAAGACCTCTACCACTTTCCCATGCCTTCTCCTACCCTATGTGGGGGACAGGGTTGCTGCCCACTCCTCACCCCAGTGGGGCTCTGCCCCAGGACCATCTTTAACACTGGTCTGCCCTTAAGACCTCTTCCACCTTCTCCTTTCAAATAACTACAAAATGCATAAAATATCTGGAGATCAACCTCTCAAAGGACACAAAAGACATATCGATTCAACTGCAAGTTATTAAAGAAATAAAGGACAACCAAAATAGCTGGAAGAATAGTCAGTGTTCATGGCTAGACCATGCCAACATAATAAAAATGACAAAACTATCAAAAAAAGCTTTAATGCCATACCAAATTACCAAGGGTATATGCTTTATAGATTTTGATAAAATAATAACAAAATTCATTTGGAAAAACAAGATATCTAGAATATCAAGGCAAATGATGAAAAGAAAGACAAAAGGGAAATAGCACTTCCAGACCTTAGACTATATTATAAAACAGTAGTCATCAAAATCATCTAATATTGGTTTAAAAAATCTGAGATATAGATCAATGGAACATCTGACACGAGAGCATCAGAAACAATGAAACTCAATAACCCAGCGTTTGAAAATGTGGAAAACATTAATCACCTACGAAAAAATTCCTTATCTGATTAAAAACTGCTGGGAAAACAGGAGAGTGGTCTGGCAAAAATTAGCCTTAGACCAGTACCATATACTTTGTTCCATAATATCTTCTAAATGGATGTGACTTTAATATTAAAGATGATACTATAAAAAAATTAGAAAAGAAACAGATCACATATCTCTTACAGGTAAGGGTAAGAGATCTATTCTTAACCACATGAGAGACGGAGACAATTACAAAGCTAAAATAGATAACTTTGATTACTTGAAACTGAAAAAGTTCTGCATAGACAATACTAATTCGTTGAGGATAAAAAGTCAAGTGGTTGAATGGGAAAACAATCTTTGTATCAAATTTCTCTGATAAGGGTTTGGTATGGAAGATATGTGCATGTGTGTGTGTGTTAATGTTAAGGGGTGTCTTTTGAGTTGCCATATTTTCCAGAAATACTGGACCCAGAGTATGCAGGAGGCCCTGAATGTGTCAGGAACAAAGCCTCTACCCCAGCTGACAAAATTTGTTGTTTGCATCCCAAACTGGACTCCCTGTGTGTCCTTGGGAGTCAAAACAGGGGCCAGTCAGTCTGCATTAGACTGGGAAATTGCCTGTGCAGCTGGAACCCATGTACATAAGCAGACCATCCTATCTTCATGGTCTAGCAGTTCCCAAGGGAAAAAGAATGGCTTTTGCCATTACCTGGCTCCTCCCCTGCAGGAGGGGTTTTGTCCTTTTCCCACTCCTACTGCTCTTTCCCTCCTCCCATGCTACTCCCCTTTAAGTAGAGATTTGTGTTTTCTCCTCCTTCCTTTGTCCTGCTGTTATAAAAAGGCAAACTTTTGTATGGATTGTGAACTCCACATGCATGTTCATTTATCTTGTAATAAACCTGGCTTTCATGTAAGTTTCATGAAGTTGTGATCCCCTATTTTGTCTGTCTGTCTCTCTATAGATATATAATACACATATATATATAATATATATAATATATATAAAATATATATGTAGTGCCATTTGCCATTCACCAATAGACAAATGGTCAAAAGATATTCAGTGATCAAAAGAATTGTAAAGTATTCACAACCACACGAAAAAGCACCAAATCACTAATAATAAAAGAAATGCAAATCAAAACAACCCTGAGGTTTTGACCTCATAACCTGCAAATTGGCAAAAAAAAAAAAAAGACAAAAAATGGCAATACACACTAATACATTGTTGGTGGAACTGTGAAATGGTATAACCATTTTGGAAAGCAAATTGAATTATGTAAATAAAGTGACAAAAATCTCCATACCCTTTAAAACAAAGCCTGGGCTTATACCCCAAGGAAGCCATCAATAAATGCAGTTAGGTGTCACTGCAGTGCATAGAGCTCCTAAAGTCTGGAAAACTCATCTTCCTGAGTACAAATCCAGCCTCAGACATTTACTAGCTGTGTGACCCTGGGCAAGTCACTTAACCTCTGCTGGCCTCAGTTTCCTCATCTGTAAAATGAGCTGGAGAAAGAAATGGCAAACCACTGTATATCTCTGCCAAGAAAACCCCAAATAGGGTCACAAAGAGCTAGACATGACTGAAAAAATGACTCAACAACAAAGCCATCAAGAAGAAAAAAAGTTGGGCAGCCAGGTGGTGCAGTGGATAGAGCACTGGCCCTGGAGTTAGGAGGACCTGAGTTTAAATCCGGCCTCAGACACATAACACTTACTAGCTGTGTGACCCTGGGCAAGTCACTTAACCCCATTGCCTAGCCCCCCCCAAAAAAAAGAAGGAAAAAAGATGCCATTTACTTCAAAATATTTATAACAGCACTTTTTGTGACAGCTAAGAATTGGAAACAAAACAGAGGTACATCAACTGGGCAATGGCTCCATGAAGTGTGGTACATGAATGTCATGGAACATTTCTGGGCTATAAGAAATGACAGGTGATGAGTACAGAGAAGCATGGAAAAAGCTTTTGTGAATTGCCATAACAGAGCCAAGAAAAAATATCCACAGGAACTATAAAAATATAAATGGAAAAAACAAGAGTACATCAAAAAATCAAAAGTAAACATAACAAAACCAAAAAGATCAAGTGGTACTCCATACAGAGATAGAAGACACCCCCAACCTTCCCCTTTGTGGAGGTGGGGTGGCGCTCCATAGGTCTTACACATTACACAGATTTTCGGACTTTCTCAATGTACCAATCATTTAATTGTGCTGACTTTTTTTTTACTCCTCTCTAAAAAAATACCATTTTTCATATGGGATGGCTCTCGGGGAGGGGAGCAGAAGAAACAAAACATATCAACAAAACATTATTTTTTAAAGTCAAAAAGAATAATTCAGGGGATGATAGAATCAGACTTGTCCTTTAGAAAAATCAGTGTGGCAGCTGTGTGGTGGATAGATTAGAGGGGAGAAAGACTACAGGCAAGGACACCAATTGGGAAGCTACTGTGATAGTCCAGATAAGAAGTAATAGAGGCCTGAACTTAGGTGGTAGCTATGTGAGAAGTGAGGAGATGGATGTTAAGGTAGAAAGGATAGGATTTAGCAACTGAAAGGATATAAGAGGTGAGAGAATGAGGAATTGAGGTTCTGAACCCGGGAAATTAGAAAAATGTCTTTGACATAAATAGGGTTGGGGAGAAAAATAGTATGGTCTCTTTTATTTTATATTTATTATACATATATTTTATATGTATTTTATGTTTATTTATTTATCGTATATTTATATTTAGTTTAAGATGTCTGTGAGACATCCAGTTGGAAATGTCCAATAGGCAGCTGGTGAGGTGGGACTGGAGACAGAGACCTGAGAGTCATCTGTCTAGAGAAAATGAAACCCATGGGAGCTGATGAGGTCACTGTGAATAGAAAGGGAAGAAGGCCCACAGTAGGGCCTTAGGGTACATACAAGGACATGGTGAGGGGCCTGCAAAGGAGAATAGGGAGCAGTCAGCCAGGTTATCAACTCTCCCACAATCCACAGCAGCTCTTCCAAACCTTTTCATCCCTCCACAAAACTCCCCCAGCTTCCCCTCCCTTCCCACCCCCACCCCCAGCTGAGACCTGGCTTCGTATTTGACAAATAAAATTAAGGCCATTTGCTGTGCATTTCACCTTCTCCAACTCTTCCTCATCTCCTATCAGTTAAATTCTTTCTGCCACTAACACCTCTTTCATTCCAGTCTCCTGTGAAAAGGTGTGGCCTTACTCACTACCAAGGCTACTTGTTCAAGTGATCCCATTCCATCCTGCCTCATCCAACAGATTGCCCCCTCTGACATCCCCACTCTCAATTCCTTATTCTCAATCTTTCCCTCTCTACTGGTTCCTTCCCTACAGTTTACAAACATACCCATGACTCCCTCATCCTGAAAAAAAAAAAACACACCTCACTTGATCCTTCCATCCTCTATTTTTTTTCTGCCCTTTGTGGCTAAAGTCCTTAAAAAAGCATCTACAATAGACACCTTCACTTTCTCATCCTCTCAATTACTTCTTAACCCCTTCTGAGTTTATTATTCCACTAAGACTGCTCTCTCCAACGACCTCTTCATTGTCAAATGCAATCCAATTGGCCTTTTTTCAATGTTCATTCTTGTTACTCTCTCTGCATCCTTTCAAACTATCGGTCACTCTTTTCTCCTTGATACTCTCTTCTCTCTAGGTTTTTGGGACACCACTCCCTCTCTCTTCTCCTTATCAGACTGCTCCTTCTTCCTCTCCTTTACTGGATGCTTTCCAGATCATATCTTCTAAACCATCGGTATCTGTGGTTCTGTACTGGGCTCTCTTCTCTTCTCCCTCTATACCACTTCACTAGGTGACCAATCAATCAATCACCAATTAATTAAATGCCTACTACTGCATTTTGATAAATGCTGCTCATCAGTTTCCCAGATTTAATTACCATCTCTATGCCGATGAATCTCAAATCTACCTTTCCTGCCCTAAGCCCTCTACAGACCTGCAATCTCGAATTTCCAAATGCCAGGTAGACATCTTAAACTTAACATATTCAAAACCAAATCCTTATCTTTTCCCCTAAATCCTCCCCTTAATTACCATCTCTACCAGAAGGATCCCCAAATCTACCTATCCTGCCCTAATCCCTTTGCTGACCTCCAATCTTGACATTTCAAATGCCAGGTAGATATCTTAAACTCAACACATTCAAAACCGAATCATTATTTTTCCCCCAAACCCTCCCCTTAATTACCATCTCGACCAGGAGGAACCCTAAATCTACCTATCCTGCCCTAATCCCTTTGCTGACCTCCAATCTTGACATTTCAAATGCCAGGTAGACATCTTAAATATGTTGAATTTAACATGTTCAAAACTGAATCGTTAGCTTTCCCCCAAACCCTCCCCTATTCCTCCCTTCCTTATTACTGTAGGGGGCAGCAGCATCCTTCCAGCCTTTCGGGCTGAAACCTAGGAGTCATCCTCCACTCCTCACTATCTCTCACCCCTCCCATATCGAGTCTGTTGCCAAGGACTGTAGATTTTACCTTAGCAACAGCTCTTAGACATGTTCTCTTCTCTGCACTGCTACTGCCCCCACCCTGGTGCAGGGACTCATTATGTATTGCAATAGCTTACTGGTATGTCTGCAGCCCCCACTGCAGTCCCTTTTCTGTTCAGCCACTAAAACGATTTTCTTATAGCGCAGGTCTGACCGTATCACCCTCACCCACTCAAATTCTAGAAGCTTCCAAATGCTTCCAGGATGAAATACAAAATCTTCTTTTTGGCATTCAAAGCCCTTCATAAACTAGCTCCCTCCTCCCTTTCCAGGCTTCTTACATCTAATTACCTGACATTTTCTCTTATTCCTCATTCCCATACTCTCCAATACAGAGACATTAACCTCCTGGCTGTTCCAGGAACAAGAAGCCTCCCTCCATCTCTTGGCTCCATGCATTCTCTCTGGCTATCCCCCATGCCTGGAAAGCTCTCTCTTCCTATCTCCGGCTACTGGCTTCCATCTTTTACTGGAAGCCTTTCCCAACCCCTCTTAATTCTAGTGCCTTCCCTCTGTTATCTCCTATTTATCCCGTATATAGCTTATTTACACATATTTGTTTGCTTATTGTCTCTCCCCCCTTAGATTGTGATCTCCTTGAGTCTTTTGCCTGTTTTTGTTTCCCCAGCTATTAGCACAGTGCTTGGCACTTAGTAGGGATTTAATAAATGCTTATTGACTGACTGGCAGCTACAGGTTAAAGGCGATAGGATTTTGCTGGCTATAGAGATGGCAGAGGATTACAACTTTCAAACCATTTCCTTCTGCGTCTCAGGGAAGGAATATTAGCTGGGGGAGGGGGGTGGAGAGAGGAGGGAGGTCTCGAAAAAGGAAGCTGTCGGTAAATAAAAGTCAACAAGCATTTATTAAGGCTTACTATGTGCCAATCCAGGCCAATATCCAATCCAGTTGGTTTCATGGTTTGGGAGGTTTTAAGAGAAAAATGAGTCTCTTGTGCTATGAACCCACCCCACCTTGGGTGGGGAGGCTGGGACGAGGTTGCGGCTGTGGATCAATTAACAAGCATCTATGCCCCCCTCATGTCCCAATCTGCCACCTTACCTTTTCATGAGGGCCTCCGAATGTCAGACCAAAAGAAGCTGCGCGGCTGCTTTTCCTCTTACCTGGGTGGGGCAAGCCTTCCAACCCGCAGCCTAGGCAGACGTGGGCGGACTGACTTGACAGCCACAGGTAGCCGGCGCAGCCGCGTGGACTGCAGCCGCGGTTTTCGCCTGTGCGCGTGCGCGGAGCTAGGGTGTGAGCCACGCCCCCTCCCCCGCCCTCCTTGGAGCTCCACCCAAGACTGAAGGGCCAGATTCGCCTTCCTTATACTGTTCAGGCCCGGGAAAGGAGTGAGCCAGGTGGGATGGTTAGCCTGGAGCTAGCTCTCCCCACTTGTACATACTAGCATACTTCCCGAAGCCGCTGCAGCCACTCTCTCAGCCCGTTGCAGCCTGAGCGGTGGTTCGAAACTCCACTAGCGCCTAACGGTCCCCTCGGGCCACATCGAGGCCGCTGATTCGCCAGCTCGCTTGTCCCGCCCCCTTCTCTCGCCCCATTCCCCCCCAGCGAACCTTTCTGAGGGCAGGAAAACTGATTGGTGGAGGCCGCCGTCGAGGGAACCAATTAGAAGCGCATTCTCTCTGGCCCACCCAACCCCCCACCCCCCACCCGAATGCCGCAGTGCTTCGCTTGGTGCGATGGTCTATCCGCAGTGTCGGCCCCATTTTCCTCAGGTCTGGACCCGCCTCCGAGGCCTTGTCCCGCCCCCGCAGTCGGACGTGATGGGGAAGGAATCGAGGGTGGGAACGGGGCCCAGAAGCTGGCGGGAGGCCTGCGCAGTTCCCCGGGGGCGACCGTTTGGGGCGAGATCAAGCTCTTTGGGGCGGTGGGGACGAAGCCCCGAACAGTAGGGTGGAGGGGCGCATTTATAGGGTGGCCGGAGCCTTGGCCCAGACCCCCTTGGGTTGGGGGTTAGTGCTAGTATAATTGGCCCAATTATTATGAGGTCCAGGAGCGGGGTGGGGGTGCTGGTGAGTTAGGGGACCCCGCGCAAGTGAGAGACCCTCTGCACGCCCACATGCCATATGGTTGTTGTAGAAACCATAGCATATACAGGAAAAAGATTCAGGCAGTCTGTGATCCAAGGCCCAGATAAGAGGTGCTGACTGTAACTTCTGGAGAGATCCCCGACCCCCTAGGGGTTAGGATAGGGCCCCCTGCCAGGCTCCCCAGAGAAGGATCACAAGGGTAAGGGTGCTGACCCCACTAGAGGAGTGGATGCCCGTTGGGAGGGAGGCAGAATGGGGCCAAATTGAAGGATTTCCAGAACATCTCACTTAGCATAACAACACTGGTGCAGTGGGAGACAGTAGCTAGAGAGCTGTCCTAGGACTCCACAAGACCACTAGCAAATCCATCAACAAGCCCTTATTATGTACCTACTGTGTGCTAGACATTGAGGATAACATACAAAACCAAAACTCGCTGTGCGCCAGGTAACACCCTAGGTCACAGCTGTTGCTATTGTTTGTCCTTTGTTCTGGAAGAAAACCATGACATCAGGGAGGTGATGTCATGACATGCAAGTGAATTAGATTTAAATGAGGGAGGGCTATTCAGTCACTAGCTTCACTTTCTCCTTAGGAGCCATCTGGGTCCAGTAGCCAGATAGAGATCAGGATGACTGGAGATGGCCCACGATGCAATGGGAGACCTTGGCCTTTTTAAGCTAAGGTCTTTAACAGGTCTCAGTTTGACTCAAGCAATGCCCATTCAGTGATTAAGGCCAGATAAGAAATAAGGCAGAGAATGGCCGCTTTTACCTAGTCCAGAGGTTCCCAAATTTATTTGACCTATGGCCCCTTTTTCAAAGAAAAAAAATTATCCAGCTCCCCCCTGGAAATCTATTTTCTTTAATCCTTTAACTTTTAAAAAAAAAATTTGCGTCATTTCAAAAACATATACATATATATTTTTTATTTTATTTTATTTATTTTATATATATATATATATTTTAAATGATGCATCTTAAATTTAATAATTTTTTTGCAAATTTGTGGGGTTTTTCCTGCATTGAAATTTTGATGATGCGATATTGCATCATGTAACCATACAGTATCATATTATAAACAAGTCATTACGTGGAACACATTCCTGCTGATGAATGCTGGACTTCTTGACAATTCGCAACACTTGCTTGCTAAGACCTGTTGGCAGATTTGACCACTGATCAGTTATAACTTGCATTTTGTGTGTTTATTTGGAAAATAATGTAATTACGATGACTTTAACTCAGTTATACAACAGATGAAACACGTATGAACAGTTTTTCAAAATTTTCTTCTTTCCTTATGCTTCCACCGCCCCCTTATTAAAAGAATTCATATTCAACACCTTCCCAATTGCACCCAAGGCTACTACTGCCCCCCCACCCCTGGATCCTTCCAGCACCCCCCAGGGAGTGGTTTTGTCCACTTTGGGAACCTATGACCTAGTCCAAAAAAAAAAAATCAGTCTGGGAGGGGAAGACCCTCAGGGTTTCTAGCCAAAACAGAAACAATTGTACATTTACTCTAAGCCAATCAGGGCCCAAACAATGGCCAAGTGGGGCTTGGCCTGGGACCTACTGTTGACCAATCAATGAGAGCCAGAGTGATTTGAGTTTAAGACATGGTCCTTAAGAAAGAAGTCTAGCCTGTAAACCCCAAGATATCTTTCGAGATTTCAGCTAGCTAGGAAGAAGTACCTGAAACCTGGCTACTCAATGAACAGTCAACTTAGAGGTGAAATGAGCAAGGCCATTGCCCAAACTAGAGAAAGCTGCTCCCCATACCTAAGGAACAGATAGATAGCTCATGCCCATTCTTCCCTCAGAAGCCTTGGTCATTTTTATTTCCCAAATGATCTATCCTGCCTGCCAATTAGAAAGTCTCTGGAGGAATAAAATGGAAAGCAAAGTGTGGGCTTTCACCCAGTCTTCCATTAGCATTGCTTACAAAGTTAACAAGTAAGCTTCTTGAGTGAAAGAAACCTTTCTCACATAGTCTATCTTCCCTGAGCTGATAACACTTAAAACTGGGTGGGCACCAATGAACACTCTTACTGCCAAAGCCAACATGAGTTGTACACAGTTGAGTTACCCATTCTGCGGCCCATTTCTTCTAAGACAACAGTTAGTTTATCTTCACCTTTAGCTGGTCTCCCCCAGAACAAGGCTTGCACAAGCAAACACAAGGAGTCTTATTTGCTTCCAGTAAATAACATAACCACAGATGCCACCATTGAGGATGTTGGTGAATTCCTTGAAAATGTTATTCATAACAATCTTTACCATTTAACAGCTTTGGACTTAAGAAAGAAGAATATCTTTAATGGACTAGAAAAAAGGAATCCTAGTGTAGAATATTCTGTGCTGGCACTGGAGTCAACGAGACCAGGCTGGGTGACCCAGGACAAATGAGTTCAGTAAGCTCAGCTCCAATTTCCTCTTTTTTTCTTTCTTTCTTTCTTTTTTTTTTTTTTGGGGGGGGGTGAGGCAATCAGGGTTAAGTGACTTGTCCAGGGTCACACAGCTAGTAAGTGTTATGTGTCTGAGGCCGGATTTGAACTCAGGTCCTCCTGACTTCAGGGCCGGTGCTCTATCCACTGTACCACCTAGCTGCCCCTGATTTCCTCTTTTATAAAATAAAAAGTACCTACTTTAAACAAGAGTTGTTGCGAATGTTGAATGAAATAATATATGTCAAGAACTTTACAAACCTTAAAATACATGGTTTTTTGTTGTTCTTCAGTTGTGTCCAACTTTGAGACCTCTTTTGGAGTTTTCTTGGCAAAGATATTGGGGTGGTTTTCTATTTCCTTCTCCAGCTCATTTTACAGATAAGGAAACTGAGGCAAATAGAGTAAAGTGACTTGCCCAGGGTCACACAAATAGTGTCTGAGGCTAGCTTTGAACTCAGAGAGAAGAGTTTTCCTGACTCTAGGCCCAGCACTCTGTCCACTGCAGCACCACCTAACTGCCCCAAAATTATATGGCTACATCTGCTTTATTACATGTACACATTCTGTTCTACTTAGAATAGTAGCCAAACCTCATGTATCCTTGGTTTTAAAAGCTAACCAACTGTAGGGCCCAAGGTGAAAATACTAACAAGAACCAAAGGGCATGGGGAAAAAAAACCAGGAGAGCATTATTTAAACATGAGAGGCAGCATGGCTGCCAGAGCATGGTGGATAGAGTGGCCAGGTTTAGAGTCAGAAAATCCTGGGTACAGGTCCCACCTTTGTCCTGTACTCAATCAAAACACTGCTTAATAGTATGGATCCTTACCATGTATAATGCCACTTTCAAAGAGGCACATGGAAGGACATTCAAGGTCATTATAAATATACAGCAATTATTCAGTTTAACTTTTTGGAAAAGAATAAAAACCCATTTTTCTTTTGGGCTTGAAAGAAAAAAAATCTTGATTAGCAATTCTTAAACCTCATTTTTCCACTCTTCAGTAGAAATAGCCACTTGAGATGAAAATGAAAGTCGAGCTAAGTCAAGAATGCAAAGTTTCCAAAATAATAAGGCAACACCACTTGTTCAACGCCTTTTTATTGGTGACTCATGTCCTCAAGTGTGTTGCTATAATTAAGTAAGTAGTCTTAGCTTAGAGATTTAGAAAATGAAACAGGAGAGCTCACGACACATAAAAACCACAAGATGGCAGAGATGGATCAGAACTAATGGACTGGTTTTGTCTGTTTTGTATAATCTCCTTGCAGAAGGAATATAGCAAAAGGAATACAGCAAGGGAAGCCGTGCATCATAAAAGCTCTCATTCCTGTTTTATGGCCTCAAAAAATTAGATGTCAACTTCTTAAACTAAAGCTGACAATGCTGATTTTTTTTTTTAGCTGGCCAAAACTGATTTCACAGCATTTACGATATATCTGGCACTAATACCAAACATATCAAGCAACTCGGCAGGTTTTCCACTTCGAGGCACCCCAGATACTGCCAGCTGATGAACACTGATGCCAGGCGTACCAGAAACAGCTGCACACACAGCTTCCCCAATACCACCTAGAAAAGAAAGGACAAAGTCATGAGAGCCCAAGTTGGCTTGATAACAATACTATAAAATTTCTCAGCCTTTACAGAGACTACTCATTGGCACTCTGACATATTACCTGGGACAGGTGGGGAACCTGCAGCCTCA